TAGATATTCCCGAAACCAGAGGAACTCGGCGCGCGCACGTATGTGTGCATTTTGTGTGTGTGTGTGTGTGTGTGTATGCGCGCGCACGCGTGTGTGCATTTACGTATGCGTATTACATTAATTATAACATTCACGAAACGTCGCCGACGTCGCAGTTATGCATTACCATTTCTTTAACAAAAAAAATCGACAAAATCTAGAACGATTAACCGAAGATTTTTTTTCCCTCCGTTCCGAGCGAAGAACCGGAGATTCCGTTCGGAGCGTCGGAATCTCCGGCCGAAAACACGAATCCTGACTGAAAATTGGCGACAAAATTAATGTAAATTTACTTAAAATAACCCTACATCTCGAGATGCAGGATCGTTTTCTATAAATAACACCAAGACGAGTTATCTGTGAAAATGTATAGACGCGCATATACTACCGTCGCAAACGCACGCCGCTTCCGAGAATAACGATCTCGCCTCGTTGCCGGAAAAAGCGTTCGCGTAATGGCCGTCGTCGCCGCGGCCGTTGCGCGCCGAAAAATGGACCCGGGTCGCTCCCGCGTCAACGCCGCGCGCGCGTGGGCCGTGGATCGCGAGAACTGTTGAGATATCGGAGGCCACCGGCGGGGAGGACAACGGCAGGGACGATGCACGACACGGTTCGCTGATATAGTTGCAATTTATCCGCGACAGATTCTCACCACGCGGAGGCGAAGGGACGCTCGCGCGTCCCGTATAATCATCCAACGCCGCGGCTGCACTTACGATGTAAATTTCAACGGAAGTACGGAATTCTGCCGACGGTCGAGGGGACGCGAAACGTTATTTCGCGCGTTTCGCGAACGGATCGCTTTTTCATTGACGACGCGACTCGGATTTTCACTTCACTTACCGTGTACGTGCGACAGGCGGCTCCGTGCAACAACTTCGAAGACGAAGTCGAAGATTATGAAGAACGGAAGAACACCAACGCCACCGAGATGCCGCCGCCGGCCGCGTACTCGCGTCTGTGATGAGTAGATGCAACATAGAGCGGTTACCGAGCTGCGAGTAATGGCGTTCGGTTGTCCAACTTGTCCGCGTCGCCGATTGGCCAATTCCATTGGCCGGATCTTTCTCATATGGGTGCGCTACCGGATGCATCCATACGTCAGGACCGGCCTGTCTTATACGATTGACCAGTGGACCGGTGCTTATAATTTTTGGAATCAATCAGAAGATCCTTTGTTGAGCTGGCCAAAAAAAAATAAAAAATTATATTTAGTCATTTTTCCTATTCTATATATTCAGGATGAGACTGCTGCAAGAAAAACAAAAAATATTACATTTCGATAACATGTCAATGTTAAGAGCGAATTTCCATTGTTTAATTAAAAAAATATACATAGATTATAATTTAAATAAATTTAAATAAATAAAATAATTTACGTATTATAGTTATTTTTTTAACGTAAGATATATTTCGCATAATTCAATCAATATAAAAAATATATATAGTAACAGTATTCCCACAATTGCAATTAGGGTCTGTAATTAGAATAATTCAATCAATACAAAAAAAGGAATCAATCAGAAGATCCTTTGTTGAGCTGGCCAAAAAAAAATAAAAAATTATATTTAGTCATTTTTCCTATTCTATATATTCAGGATGAGACTGCTGCAAGAAAAACAAAAAATATTACATTTCGATAACATGTCAATGTTAAGAGCGAATTTCCATTGTTTAATTAAAAAAATATACATAGATTATAATTTAAATAAATTTAAATAAATAAAATAATTTACGTATTATAGTTATTTTTTTAACGTAAGATATATTTCGCATAATTCAATCAATATAAAAAATATATATAGTAACAGTATTCCCACAATTGCAATTAGGGTCTGTAATTAGAATAATTCAATCAATACAAAAAAAATATAGTAACAGTACTCCACACGTGTGCATTAGATCTGTAATTAGAATATCGACAACAACGGATCGTTCGTAGCATGGACATAGAAATACAAGGCCAACCAGCCGAACGTAATGTAAACGAGACGCGTGTAAAAACATTTATGTATTTTTATTAACATTTTTTACATTTTTTTTTTAATAGTTACATTATGATCTGTGCTTCGCATTTATTTTATACAAAGATAGATATAATAGGTAGACAGTAATGCGCGTATCACCCCCCACCGCGTAAAACGCGTGAGGCGCATTTCCTCGCGAAACATTTCCAATTTCGTAAACGATAATTTCTTTTTTCTTTTTCTTTTTTGTCTTTGTCCATATCCGTTTAATGTAATATATATATATATATATATATATATATATATATATATACACACATATATATTACTTCACAATATGTACATATACATATAAATATATATATGTATCAATATTTCCGTGTATCACTTTACAATTTCAAACGGAAATACTTTTTCCTAAAATTCCGCCGTCCTCCGTCGGCCCTCATTTCTTTTCTTTTTATTCTTACTTTTTTTTTCTCTTCATTTCTGCCGTTCACATTGACAAAATTATACGCTCGATGCAACGTTATCACGATAGTGGTCGCAATTCGTCCTATGATGCGGATATATCAACTTTTCGCAAAACTTTTGAAATTCGCTGAACGGATTGTAATCTTTCCGCATTGAGGCACTGAAATGAAAATAAATAAACTGGATCCATTAAAAATATTGAAAGAATTTAAAAAATTCATATCTCTCACGGCCTTTTGTAGATTACGTCTCAAACAATATTTTATTATTTTACAAATTACCTCAATTCCTTCTATTCCCTCTCTTGATTAGAAACTGTTACAATATATATATTTGTAAATTGAAAATTATTATTTACAATTAAATTAAAATTTATTTACATTTAAATTAAAAATAATAAAATTACTCGTATAAATTTTTGTCTAAAAAATTAACGAATCATGAAACTGCTTACAGTAAGACCGAATAAATAAGATGTTTATGAATCTTTTAAATTGTTTTTTTACAAGGAAATTTAAAAAATTTATAGTTCAAGGTATAATTAAAAAAAAAAATATATATATACATATATCTGTCTCTTATACACA